TCTTTGTCTTCTTGACATTGAGCCTCAATCCATATTGTAGGCTGCAGTCCTTGACACTCTGCAGCAGGCGCTTCAGGTCTTCTTCAGTTTCAGCAAGCAGGGTTGTGTCATCCACATAACGCAGATTGTTGATAAATCGTCCACCAATCTTGACCCCACATTTCTCCTCATAGAATATCATGTAGTAAAAAACAAAATATATATATGTAGTAAAAACCAAAGAATATCATGTAGTAAAAGTCCAGTGTTAGTGAGCATCAGCCAGTTCCAAGACACACTAACATCAAAACACAATTCCTAAATTAGTTCAGATAGCCTCTGAGTCAACAAGTAAAAGTCTAGGTTCAATTTAGCAACATAAATAAACCTCTGGTTTCCTCTGTTGTCCAGCAGTCTTTATCTCATAGCAGTCACAAGTCAGCTCTTCATTCAGTCATCCAGAAGCAAAACCTTTAACTTTGGCTCCATCTCCCTGGTTTTGTCAGGCTACATCTCGTCAGTGTTTTCACAGTGTCTTCACCCTCCCTACACAGTTGCACCATAGTGTGGAAAGTGCTCTCTCTGTATTGATCTCACAGTTCTTGCTGATTTGCAAGACCATGTGTTCACAGTTAAGGTAGCTGGAGATCATCTCTCCATCAGCAGCCAAAACAATGGATAGAAAACCATTTTTCAAAGTTCTAGCTACATAATCCTTAGTATACAAAGAGCTGCTTTCCCTAAGTCAGAAAAAGATAAACAACTGAAAGAAGAATGATCAAGAGATTGGAAAGACAAACCATTTATGGTGAAATAGCCTTATTTGTGAGGAAATACAACTATTTGAAAAATAGGTGAAAAGATTGGCAAACCTTGTGTAAGGGATCACACAGTAAATGTTTTAGGCTTAGGCCATATGGCCTTTTATAATTGCTCAACTCTATGTTCTGTTGTAGCATAGAAGCACTTATACTGTTGTTAGTTATTGTCAAGTCCGTTCTAACTTGTGGTAATTCCATGTTTGTAAAATAGAATCACACTTTGAAGGTCTTTTAACTTGTGAATTTTGAGAAGTGCATTACTAGGCCTAACTTCTTAGAGAGTTTGAACCACCAGCCTTTGTGTTAGTAGTCTAGTACTTAACCATTTATGTCACACAGGGTCTCTGAAGTAGCCGTACTCCCTGTGATTGAATTGATTTGGACTCATAGAAACACTCCATTGTACTTCTGAAGCTGTAGACATAACTACCCTTCTTTGTCTCTCAGAAGATTTGAACTACTGACCTTCAGATTTTCAGTGCAATCTGTAAGGGAACCATGCCACAAGAGCTCTTTTAAAGTAACCTTGAAGAATATATAAATCAATGAGTGTGGTTGTGTAGAAGTAAAAAAAAAATAAAAAAAAAATTATTTTTTTAAACAATGGATTAGATTTACTTATGGGCTTTAATTGACTCAACCCTCTCAACTTTTTTTTTTATTGTTGTTTTTCTATGCCATTGAGTTGGAACAGATTCATGGTTGACCCTCCAGAAGGGTGCCCCCCCCACCACCTTTCTTCCATGGAGTAGCTGGTGAATCTGAACTGTTTTCTTTTGGGTTGGCAGCAAAACTTCTTAACCCTAGGCCACCATACTCCGACCTTTCTACTTCAGTGGTCAGGAAATGCCAATTAAGCAATTTTTTCCCTGTAAAGCCATTTTAAATTGTTTTTCTAAATAATGATGTTAGATTTACACTATGTCAGTCTCAAAAATAAGGTGGTGGTGGTGGTTGTTATGTGCTGTCGAGTTGCTTGCGACTCATAGCGACCCTATGTACAACAGCCCTAAACCCTGTTCTATTCTGTGCCAGTTGCACTGCCTCTGGCACACCCATCCCGATTACCCCAGTTACTGAATCAATCCACCTCATAGAGGGTCTTCGAGAGTGTGTATTTGTGAGAGATTTCATGAGTTTCTACTTAACAAAGGAGAATATGCTCAGTTTTAATTAGAAGTTTATTTTTTTTGCTTGAAGTATGTTCTGAAATAGAATAGTTTAAATTAATACTTGATAATAATTTTTATTTTCTGTTTCACATTTACTAAAATTTGAAGAACTGTTATTTTCCTTTGAAAATTTGTTCTTGTTCCACAATGGAAATTATAATGAATAACTTTAGTATTTCAAAGAGTGTATATTTATTTTCTCCAGGCAAATATAGTCACAGCATACTTTTAGAAACACAACTATGTTTTATATCATATAGTTAGTTAATTTTTTCCTTTTTTAAGAAAAATTTTATTAATTTTAATGAACATTTACAGAGATTTTGGATTTCTATTCATTCATTGTTGCACTGTTTTCTCTACCATTCCCCCCATTTCATTCCTCTTTTTTTTCCCCCTTGAAAGTCTGTTTTAATTGTCCAATTGCCACAGTGCTTGTCAAAGCCAGTTCTGATTAATCTCCTTTGTCAGTGTGTCCTTTGCCATTCCCTATCACTCCTCCCTGAGAGAGACTTCATCCTGATTCATAAGGAAAAGGGGATGGTGTATTCTCTTAGCTACTTCCTGCTGAAAAGGGACACTGTAGGTAGGTAGTTAATTTTGAATAAGAAGACTTCCTGATTTTGGGGGATTTGAATAACTTCATTTACATTGGAACAAATTTAAAACCTTACAATCAGGTCTTACTTTTCGTCAGAAGTAGAATATTTAGTGCCCTTGTTCAGTATGCCAGCTCTTTTTTACTTTAATTGCTGGTTATTGGTTAGTAAGGCTTCCAAGATATAATTATAAGAAATTTTGAGGTAAGATTGAACTGTGTGTGGGAGCAAGACGTAGCTTTTCTGGGGATGATTAAGCTTTGGATCAATCAAGTTGCTGGAGTTGAATCATGGAAAGAATACACAGTTGAGTACTGCTTCATTAAATACTGTTCTGTATATTAAGTAGATTATGGCATTTCAACCATTTCTATTTTATATTTGATAAGACCTTATTATTGAAAGATTTTTCAGTTTTCTTTTTTGTTGTAGGAGAATCCATCTGGCTATAAAGACTTGACGGGGAGTTTTGTAACAATTTTGAAGCAAGTAGTTGGAGGAAAGCTCCCAGTAGATTTCAATTACCACAGTGTGCCAGCACCATGGTTACAAATTCAGCTCTTGAGAATACTCGGACTTCTAGGAAAAGATGATCAGAGGTAAGCTATTCTAAATCATTTACTAAGTGACCCCGCCTGATATGATAGCTTTAGTCTCATAGAAGTTTCATGATGAGTCGGGTAAATAAAGTGCATTCTTTGAAGTTGCTAGGATAATTCTGACTCCTTATCCAAATGAAGTTCTGTGAGGTTTTTTTGTTTTTTTTTAGTTCATCAGTTTGCACAATTTTTCTAGAACGGTCAGATAATAAATATTTTAAATTTGTGGACCACATACTACAATTACTGAACTCTGCTATTGTAGTAGAAGTAGCAGTAGACTATATATAAAAAAATGAGCATGGCTGTAATTCTTTTTGTGGATACCAAATCTTAAATTTCATGTCATTTTCATCAGCCATAAGATACTGTTCTTCTTTGATTCCCACCCCATCCCTACCCCAGTTATTTAAAAACATAAAAACATGCTTAGGTTGAAGACATACAATGGCTAGATTTCCCCTGTGAGGCAAAGTTTGTTGTTTTTGATCTAGTTGAATGTGAGAAATTTACCTTCTTACCTTGTTTAAATTACTCTCTGGACCGGTACCTTTTTGTTGTTATGTGCCATCGAGTCACTTGCAACTCATAGCAACCTTATGTACAACAGCTCTGAACCCTCCTCTATCCTGAGCCAACCTCATTGTCTCTGACACACCTACCCCCATGACCCAGTCACTGAGTCAGTGCATCTCATCCAGGATCTTGTAACTTAAACTTTTTATGAGTACATTTCCAAGTATATCCTTTTTTTTTGCTAGCTTCTTATTTTACCATATTTTTAAAAAACAGTTCCAAGAATACTACAGAGAACTTATTTCTACATTATAGCTAACTTCAGTGATTATTTAGTTTCTCTGTATATGTGTGCATACACATGCATGCACAGGCTATTTTAATTTCAAAATATTTTTTATGAACTGTTTGAGAAGATTCAACTAGATTTTAGTTCTCTTGAGCAAGAACTGAAGTACCTTTATTTTCTAATTTTTAAACTCAACTTTATAATGGGATCTTCCTCTAAGGTGATGCTCCTGGAAACTAGATTTACTTGGTTATCTTCTTGTCTGAACCCATCTGCCTGTGAATCCTTATAGGGCTATATTATTCTAAGTATTACTTTATTACTTTTTTCAGTGCTGATAAATCTCTACCTCAGACTGAAACCTGGCACGAAAACCAAAGGTGTTTGGATAGACACACATTAGAAATGTTTGTCTTAAGTTTATTTTGTGTGACTCTAACCTATCCTTTCAGAGAACTCCAGGTGCAGTTCACTGGAATTTGGTTTTAAAACGCCTTGGTCTTCTCATTTACTTGCTGTGCATCTGAAAGTTGAGCACTGACCAAGGGATCAGTGCCTTGAGTTGTGGTATTGGAGAAAAGCACTGAATGCCAAAAGAACAATCAGGAAATTAATCTCTACAGTCTTATGCCAAAGTCAGTATTCACTCTGCTGCATTGAGTACGAGACAGGATCTGACAGTCCAGCTGCTTCTTAAACAACCCCACTCACTACAGCACTTCCAGAGGCACTTGCTGTTGCCCATTTCTGAATCTTCATTTGATGTTTTTCAAAGCAAAGCAAGTGACTTCTTTCACTGATTTATGAATTTGACTTTCTCACTTTGAATTTTTGTCGTTATTCTAGTCTCATTTGTTACTATTTTTTAAAGCCATTTTTATCATTTGAATGGAGAACCAGAGTCAAATGCTAATTGACTAATCTACCGTCTTTCATTAAATGTTTCAAATAATATAGTCACAGTGGGATAAAAACAACAACAACAACAACAACAACCAAAAAACCCTGCTAATTTCATAGTCCCACATCAATCTTTATTGGTCTAAAAGACTTTATATGCCATTGTGTTTGTTTTCAGGGAGCAATAATAAGTTGGGAGGTATTTGTTATTATTTTTGTTTTGTGCTGTTGAGTCAGGATCAACTCATAGCTGACCCTCTAGCAGCTTTTCAGAGACTGTAAATAGCACAGAAGGAAATTGCCCACCTTTCTCTCTTGGAGCAGCTGGTGAATTCAAACCACTGGCGTTTGGGGTGGTAGCACAGCTCTTTAACTGCTAAATACTCCATGGGAAGCATTTAGAAAACTTATTTACTGAATTAGTTTGTTAACATTTTTACCTTTTCCTTAATGAATAAATTTAGAGAACATATACAGAAATGATTAAAACAGTCTTTTACCTTAAAACAGATCAATTGAACAATAATAATTAGACTTAAATGAATGAATAACAGTGGCATGATTTTATAATGTTGCCAAACATCAGAAAGTTTTCTTTTTCATTGTCCAGATCTTAGATTTTATGTCAACAGTAATCTTGTTAGCTCATTATTACAGTATGCATATTAATAGGCTTTACCAGATTCGATTTGATAGAAATAATTTACTTGAAAATTTTATGTATTTATGATATTTTTTTAGCTGTTGTTTTAACTGCATGCTTCTTGTTGTTGTTAAGTGTTGTTGAATTGACTCCAACCTATAACAACCCTGTGAACAACAGAATCTGAACCCTGTCCTGTTCTGTGCCATCCTCATTCTTCCTGACACACTAGAACCCATTGCAGCAGTCACTTTAATTGTCCACCTCATTGAGGGCCTTCACTGACCTTTCCAATCTTAAATAGCAGGCCTCTGAAAAACCCTTTGAACAGTAGAGGAACATGAATAGTTATAATGTGCTTCTTTGGATATTAATATTTAGCTTGATAATGTCTTCTAAGGTTTCACATTCCATATAATCATGATTTTATGCCAGACATTGAAACTAGACTATAATGTAGGTATAGCATTACTGTATTTGTAGAGGGAAAAATGAGGAATTTTAGAATATACTTTTAGTTCTGAATTACTTAGTATTAATAAACAAATGTGCTTTAGTTAAGATAGATTATGTTTTCTGCACGTCAAAAGAAATTTTCTGGCTATATACTTGAAATGGGAAATTTTCTGAACGATTTAATACACATGCTATTTATATAGCCCTAGATTGTTTTTGTCTTTTTGTTGACTTGTTTTATAATGTAGTTCTCTGTAATACCACTTTATATCCTGTGATACTGATAGAGTTTTTTTATGTTAGTGCTTTCCGGTTTGTTTAAAAAACAACAACAAATAAACCAGCAGATAAGGTATAGTTTCACTCTGGTCTCTTGGAGAGGAATTTTCTTTCCAGGCAACAAACAACAAACTTAACTCAGTATTGTTAAGTCAGAACTGATCTTCAGTGGATTTTCAGAGGCTATAAACCACCCATCTTTCTCCCACAAAGCAGCTAGTGAATTTAAACCATTTACCTTTGGCAATACAACTCCTTATTCTCCCTACTCAGCCACAGTTGTTGTTAGGGTGCTGCTGAGTTAAGTAAGACTCATAGTGACCCTATGAACGAACAGCCAACCTGAATCCTTCCCTATCCTGTGCCATCCTAATCACATCTGACACACATGAGCCTATTGCTGAAATCAGGTCAATCCAGGTAGGCCATTAGAGATCCCTAAAGCACAGACTTGACAGAGTCCTGGTTTAAAGGGCCCTCCGAAGTATTAAAACCAAATCTTAAGTAGATTTTGATCCAGCAACTTTCCATCAAGTTTTCAACATTGTAAATCATCATGGGAGGAAACTACCAATCTTTCTCTCTAAAGTGGTTAGTAGAGTTAAACTGCTGACTTTTTAACAGTTTTGGCATGTTACACACTATCTACCAGGGCTCCCTCTGTGGAAGAAAAGTGGGCAGTCTCCTCCTTTGTGTTTTATAGCCTATGAAAAGTTGCTGGAGGGTCAGAAAGGAGTCAGTTCCTACTTGGCAACAATAGAGCATTGTATTATCCTACAGTGTTTTTCTCAACCAATATCTTTAGGTAATTGTAAAAAAACATAAGAATGATACAGATATTTTAATTCCACACACTACAATGCTGTTTAACTTATACAGGTTAAAACTTTTTTTAAGGATCAGTTTGCTGATCAGAGGGGAAAAATATATTTAAATGATTTTTAAGATTTATCTTAAGATACAGGTAATATTGTGTCTGAAATAATCTGGGTATGTGTTTTATCACTTTAGTCACTTAAAACACATAGATTTTATTGTGAAGAAAATTATTAACCATATTCAGCCCAACAAAAACCTGATTTGTAAACTAGGTACAAATTGATGTGTGTTGGTTTTTTCACTCATTGCCTAAATAGTCAACTTGATAAGGAGGAAGCTTGAAATTTACAGAAGGAGCAAATCTTCAACGAGGGAAATTCATGGAAAATAATGTTTTTTGTGGGGGGAGGTTAGAATACTATAATTCCACTGCAAATAAAATATCTTTTAAACAGGACAAGTGAATTAATGTATGATGTTCTTGATGAATCCTTAAGAAGAGCCGAGTTAAATCACAATGTCACATATGGTAGGTAATATATGTATATGCTAATGACTAAAGGTGCTTTTAGTGTCACACCTAAATTTGTTAGGTTGTGTTAAGTTCTGACTGAGTTTTGTATATTAATTGTTAGGGTGGTTCTTTGTGTTATTGTTAGTATTTTTTAATGAGAACATTGAGTAGAAAGAATTTTAAATTCTGGCATGATGACCTAAGTCCATTTTTCTCATGTTTTTCCTTATTGAAATTATTCATCAAGTATCTAATTAACTGTGAAGGTAGTGCAGCAGTGAAGATGTCCTACATTTTATAAAAATTTATATTTAAAGATCATGCTTATTAACCAGTCAACTTGTTGTCAGATATTTAATACATTTCTTTTACTTGTCAAGCTATGTGTAAAGTGCTTGTAATACAGCTGTGAATAAAGCAATATTATCATGGGGCTCACAGTCTAGATATAATGAAAAGGCTAAGTATTGTTATAAAAAAAATTTACAAGGTATTGTGGGAGAATTTAGCAGATATCCTTAGGTGATAGGGGACACAGGAAGGCTTCCTTGAGAAAGTGATTTTTAAGATGACACCTGAAAAAAATTAACACGATATAGAGTAGTATATATATAGATGTAGAATTATAACATATTATTTTGTGAAAAGATAAAAATTCACTTATCACTTTAAAAAGTAAATTGGCAAAAAAATTATGTGGGGAAAGGAGAGAGCTAAAGACAACAATAAGAAACCTTCCATATTTAACAGGCAGATGTAAGAACTTTTAAAAAAATATCAGTGTGAGAGAGCTCAGTGAAGAAATTAAGAATTTAGAGGTATTAAAAAAATAGAAGTGAAAACAGTTTAAATTTTGCATATTTTGGAGACTACTACACGAGGCATTGAGAGGAAGTAGTTTCTAAGTCTGATAAAATAACATGAAATACGGAGTGAAGAGCATTACTTGTTCTTTCCTACAACGGTAAATTTCTGTGACTCTTTAAGAACAGTGGTTTATAGAAGTGTAGAAAAGATTGTGAGAAAGAAATTGAACTGACTTAGGAAGTTCCTGACAGAGACACAGGAATTAGGAGAAAATATTGCCGGCAACATTTTTGCAACATGTGCAGGAATGCTCATGGTGGTGAATTGTTTTGAATGAATAAATGGTAATTAGGGCAATGAATGTGGTTAGTTCATATGTTTAAACAATATTTATTGACCATAAAGCAAAAACTTGATTTGTTAACTATGTACAGATTGAGGAAAAGAATTGATTGGCTTCTTTGTTTCTTAGTTCTAAGTACGAAAGAGAAAAGGTAGACACAGGCCTTGCCCTTATAAGTATTTGTTTAACAGTTGTTATTATCTAGTTCTTAATACATATTGAGAAAAAGAAGAGGCCAGAGATAAGGATGGCTAGTGGTTTACTTAGAAACTGTTAGAAAATCCACATAATTAAAGTGAAAATACTTTCCTTAAAATATAATCAATGTCTAGGTTAAAAGTTTGAAGCGGTTTCAGGGAATTATGTTTAAAATTATTTGAGAATTTGTGTTTGGTTTTTTTTTTTAATTCTTCTGGGGCTTTTACTTGTAGAAAGTTTCTATTCTAGTTGACATTTCAGCTTTATTTTTTTTATTTTTTTTTAATAGGTAATATATGCACATAGTTCAAAATTCAAAAGGTTCAAAAGGGTATACAATGAACAGTAAGTCTCCTTTCCATCTTTATCATTCACTACCCCATTCCCTTGCCTGGGGACACCACTTAAAATCTGTTCTTTTTGATTTGGAGAATACTGTATACCTGAGGAAAATTTTTTTCTTTTATTGAGATGATTTGAACCAATGGCAACAATTTGTTTCTTTATAAGTGTTTCCACTTGTTACACAAATGTCATAGCTTCTATTATTTATTTTCTTTATAATTTCATTGTCTTTTATTTCTAGTGTTACAGTTTGGAGTTTACATTGATTATATCAATGATGGAGTTTTCTCAAATAAAGCTTTATTTTGCTGTTTAAGAATGTGAATTTTAGATTATAATCTTCATAAGGGCATAGACTATGTCTGAACAGGCTGTAGGTTTGCTGTTATGATTGTTGTTGTTGTTGATTGTCTTCGAGTCGAGCACAACTCATAGTGACCTTATGAACCAAAGGCCTGAAGCCCCTCTGCAACTATCGACATTTATCAAAGTTCATAGAGTTTCCAGGGGCAAGTTATTTAGGAAGTGGACGCCACTATGATTTAATTGCATGTAAGAAGAGAAAGTTATTTTTCTTCTATGTTGTGTGATTGGGTTTTAGTGTTACTGTTTTATAAACAATATTTTTATGTGTTCAATTATTATAACTTAGTTTAGTTTCAAAGCAAGAAATAAAGCACACAGCTGCCTTTTTTGAGAATCTGCTATATGCCAGGCATTATATAGAGCTGTGTAGAAAATAAGAAGTATAAGTTGTATTCTTCGTCTCTAAGGAAGAGAAAATCTGTTTTCCCTGCAAGTGTAGTAACAGAATACAAAGAGGGCATTACCAGGACTAAATAGTATAGCAGTGCATAGAGATCATTACAGGATGGAAGAAAGATCAGGACTTATTGAAATGATAGAATGCTAAAAGATAGGTAGGATTTGATTAGGCAGGAAGGTGATTGGAGGGAATTCTAGGTAGATAAACCATAAGATAAGTGACATAAGTGGGGGTATTTAAAACTGTTTCCAGAGAACAGTAAGTGACCAGCCTAAATGGAGAATTTGTGATGGAGATCAGTGGAAGGACAGTGTGGTAGAGGGTTCTTGTTTGGGTTTTATAAATCTAGAAGACTTTTGATCAGGGTACTGATGGGTATGGTAGTCCTAGTAAATTAAATTAGAATATATAAAATATAGGGAGCTCTGGTAGCCCAGTGGTAGGAATCTGTGCCGCAGTCCTGAAAGCACACAATTCAAATCCACTAGCTGCTCCATTGGAAAAAGATGGGTACTCTCCTTTGCAGTTAACTATTTCTGAAAACCTGCTTGAGGTCAGCTATGGGTTCTGACTCAGTGGTACACAGCAACAACAATATAGAATAAGGGGGCTCTAGTGGGACCTCTGTTGACCTAGTGACATGAAGCTGCGCTGCAATCCCAAAGGCACACTGTTCGAGGCCACAAGTTGCTCTGTGAGATAAGTGTGAGCAGTCTCCTCCCATGTTATTAACTGCCTCTAAAAACCCACTAGAGGATCAAATATGAATGGGTTTCGCCTCGACGGTACACAGCAACAACAGTGGGTAGGGAATTTCACTGCCACCCAATGACAGACACTTTGAGCCCACCAGCTGCTCCCTTGGAGAAAGATGGACCATCTTCTCTTGTGTGGTTTACAGCCTTTGTAAACCTACTGGAGGGTCAACTATGAGTTGGTTCCGACTTGGCATGGCTTTGAGTTATAGAGGATGGGGAGATGGTGCAAACAGTTGATACTGTTGGAGGTTGAAGTGTGAATTCTACTGGAGGGTACCGCAGGAAAAAAGCATGACAGTGTACTTCAGAAAAGTCAGCGAATGGAAATCTTACAGATTGCTGTTCTGTATCAACACACATAGTGTCAAAATCAAACCAAGAGCAACTTGTTTACTAGAAAGGAGTGTAAGTGACAGTTTATCACAAAGACTTTTTCTTAACTTCCTGCTAACTACAGGTAAATCTAGAACAGTGTATTTAGAATAAACATTACATATAGGAAAACATTATATGTAAAACCAATATTTGTGTATATTTATTTAAATCCACATATTTATTTATTTGTGTGTGTGTGTCTGTATGTGTATAATAGAAACATCCTGCCTCCAGAAACTCTGTGTACTTTTATAAATGTTGATAGTTATAGAAAGACTTCAGGCCTGTTGTTCATAGGGTCGCTGTGAGTCATGTTTGACTTAATGACAATCAAAAACAACAATATAAATAGAAACATAGAAGGAACAAATATATAGTACAAACATTCTGAATGGTAAAGACCATATTGGGACTTTGAGACCTAAGAAATCAAGTTGAAAAGGTAAGTTCTATAGATTTACTTTTCTTATGTAATCCAGTCTGGGTTCCAGGAAAGTCAGCAGCCTGGAAACAGCAGTGAATGAGACAGAAGGGGGAAGGGGAAAAAAAAAAAGATCTTCCAAGAAAAATCAGCTCTTTCTAGCCCTAGCAATAAGAAGAAAGATACAGCGTAGCAAGACAAAAGATCTTTAGGCAGCTTCTTGTTAATCCATTCAAGCATTATAATTTTCATCAGTAAACACCAAGGAGGCCAAGATTCCTACCTTCACCAGACTGTACTGAGAAGTTCCTGTACTACTACTGCCATTCCTGCTAGGTGGTAAAGAATCCTCCTCCTCTGCCATGTTATTGGAGACAATGTGAGAAGCCCAACCTTCACATTTCCTCTGGAGTATACTGAGATGGTCATAGGTAGCCTAGTAGAAAGTGAAGACTTGTCTTTTTTTAGTGATAATGAAGCCATCCCTTGACATGTTGGTTAAAGCCATGTGGGGATCATTAGCAAGATAACATTCACTTTTCCAGGAAGGTAATATCAGCCAAGGCCCCCTAGCATTTGCCCAGCAATAACAGCAGTAAACCCATGTGCTTACTCAGGGAGGCTGAATAGAGATAATGTGAACTTCTTCCCCAGCCTTGAAGTACTAAGGTTACTTGTTCCAACCCCACCTCCCTCTAAAGTGAAACAAGATTTAACTCAGTTCTGGAATCTCATAATACCTAAAGCAGAAGCCATTCAAGAGCCAGAATATCTGTTTCATAGTGAATAAAAAGAACAACAGATGCCAACACTGAGATGACACAGATGTTAGAATTATCATCTAATAAGATTTAAAGAAAGCATCATAAAAGTGCTTCACCAAGTAATTATGAATATGCAGAGATCTATAAATATATCTTTAAGAAAACAAACCAAACCTATTCATACTGAGTGAGTTTCCATTCATAGTGACCCTCCAGGACTCCAGGAGAGTGGAACTACTCCTTAGGAGTTCTGAGGTTGTAGATCTTTACAGGAACAGATTGCACTTTCTTTTGCCTGTGGAGCTGCTGATAGGTCCAGACCACTGACCTTGCAATTAATAAACCAGCCTTTAACCATTGTGCCTCTGGTTGTTGTTGATGATTCTGCGCTATCAAGTTGGAACCAGCCAGTAGTTGACTCTCCAGCAGATTTTTAGAAGCTATAAATAGCATATGAAAATTTCTGATAGAGTGACTTACAGATTCAGACTCCTTGCCTTTGGGTGGGCAGCACAGCTTCTTATCCCTATGCCTCCAGAACTTCCTCCTGTATCTTTAACTGTGAGGGTGTAAGGTTATCTTTAAAAGTATAAAGGTGAACAGTGGAAAATTTTTCCTGAAAAATGCAATAACCAAAATAAAAACTCAGGACAGAGGACTGAGTTCTGGAATTTATTGAGAAAGTTCAGTAGTTAAAAAACAAACTGTAACACATCCAAACCCCTCAGATAGCCCAGTTATAAAATGAGCAAAGAAATGAATACATATCACTTAAGAAGATAACACATGCAAATAAATACATGAAAAGATGTTCAGCATCATTAGTTGTCGTTTGTTATGGGCTGTTGAGTCGCTTGGAACTCATAGCAACCATATGCACAATTGCTCTGAACCCTGTCCTATTCTGAGCCAATCTCACTGTCCCTGACACCCTTATCCTCCTTACCTCAGTTACTGTGTCAGTCCATCTCATCCTTGGTGTTCTGTTGTGCTGTCCCTCCATCCTTCCAAACATGACATCCTTCTGCAAGGACTGGTCCCTCCTGGAAACATGCCCAAAGTATATGAGACGTACCTTTAAAATCCTTGCATTTAAGGAGCAGCTTGGCGGATAAACTTGATAGTTCTCTTGGCAGTCTATGGTATGTTCAATATTTTTCTCCATTAATTGCTAGGGACATACAAATGAAAAATCACAATTATCTATCACACTCCGTTCCAAATGAAAGTGAAAAGTAGTGACAATACCAAATTCTGGTGAGGATGTGGAGTAACTTGATTTCTTGTATTTGTTGGTTGGAATCTGGAAAATAATTTGACAGATTCTAGAAAAAGTAAACACATACTTTTAAAAAAAGGGACACATACATAATCTGTTTAAGTGAAAGCAAAATACAGTCTGAAAAATGATGTTGTGTATGCTGTTGAGTTGGAACGGACCCACAGCTGACCCTGAGGTGGATTTTCAGAGGCAGTAAATCACACAGGAGATTGCCCATCCTTCTTCTATGGAGCAGCTGGTGGTTTCCAACCATGTACCTTTGAGTTTGTAGTGCAGCTTCTTACCATTAGGTCACCAGAGCTCTCTGAAAGTCTGAAAGATAAGATGTTAAAACTTCTTAGACTTTGATTGAAGATAATCCAACCCCAAATACCTGTAGTAAAATTTATAGTGCCATAATACTAAAACATTGAATTTTTAATCAGTAAATGATCCTTTTATTATCATACAATAACTTTAAATAATTTTGAAAATTTTTGAGTGAAAGTTTTAAAATCATATTGCATTTTAACTAATAATCAAACATTAATTTTTACATGGTAATATTTTGGTTGTTGTTGTGTATTGTAGAGTTGGAATTGACCCACAGCTGACCCTCCAGAGGCAGTTAATCGCACAGGAGGAGATTGTCCATCCTTCTCCCATGGAGCAGCTGGTGGCCTCAGACCACATGCCTTTAGGATTGCAGTGCAGCTTCTTGCCACTAGGCCACCAGAGGTCCCTAATATTTTGGTTGTAACAGGGTAATATTTTCATTAGGATCTAGATTGATAAGGGCGTCATATAGTAAGTTTAGATATTATCAGAAATACTTTTTTAATACTATAAAGTGACCACTGTTGCAATTATAAAATTATATGCAGCTTTTTTAGAGTTGAATAGTAAAGAGGTTTGGCTCTAGGTAAGAAAATAAAAGTTTATCAAATTTCATATTCAGTTCATTACACCTGGTGAAATTAAGAAGTGCAATATTCAAGGGAGCTTTGGTGGCCTAATGGTAAGAAGCTGCACTGCAATCCCAGAGACACGCTTTTTGAATCTACCAGATGCTCTGCTGGAAAAGGATGGGCCATCTCCTCCTGTACCATTTGGATCTGATTTGACAGTACACACACACACACACACACACACACACACACACACACACACCCTCCCTTAAAAAAAGAAGGCTGCATAGTGAAGTGGACTTGGGGGGAGGGATTGTATAACAATGAAAGAATTTTTCTTTTCAAAGAGAAGAGCGAACTGGGGTGAGGGGTGGGCAGGGAGAAAAGTACAACAATGAATTAATGGAAATCCAAAGTCTCTGTAAACTTTCATTAAAAATATTACACACACACACACACAAAAGGTGCCATATTCAAACTTTTAATTTTAGCTGTGCTAGCTCCCCAGAAGGCCCTGGTTGATGCAGCTAGTTAAGTGTTCATCTCCTAGCTGAAAAGTTGATGGTTTGAATTCGCTCAGAGCTTAGAGGATTCTTGGAAAACAGGCCTGGTGATCTTGGAAACACTGTGTGCGGTTCTGCTTTGCTCATGGTGAGGTTGCTGTAAGTTGGAGCTGACTTGACACAATAGAAACAAACTTGCCCAAAATCTTGTGTCTAAATATAAAAGTTTACACTTTAGGTAACAAAAGGCAAGTTCTTTTTAGTAAAATCATCTAGCTAGCGAGAGAATTCTGAATGTTATGAAACCATAAAGAGAAATAATCAGTTAATGATTAGAAAAAAAAAATAAGTCCATTTCAGTTAAAGTTCTACAAGGCAAACTTTGTCTGAAAAGGGGTTCAGATAGGAAATATTTAAGACTTTAAACCACATAAATCTTGTCACAAATTTGGTTTTGTTTTTTTATTTAAAAACTCTTCATGGTTCACTAGCTGCAAAACAAACAAACAAGCAAAAATGGACTGGATTTAGTTGAGTTTATCTGTGCAGGTCTGTCCTGTAAAGGTGAGGGTGCTCTTTGGAACCAAGGGTGACAAAACCCTGTCTCACATACTTCGGGCATGTTGTTAGCAGGGGCCAGTCCTTAGAGAAGGACAAAATGCTTGGAGAGGTGGATAGGAGGCCCTCAACGAGATGGATTGACACAATTGTAACAAAGGCTCAAGTGTTGGAGATGGTGAGGAAGGCACAGGACAGCACAGGGTTCAGATCCATTGTTCATAGAGTTGCCAAGAGTTGAATATGCAATGTATCTTAATTGCCAGTTAACTTACTTGAAGGAGTGTTTTTTTTGTTCTTGTGGGTTTTTGTTTGTTTTTAGAGAATAAAACTCAGTTCTCTTAAAAAAAAAGATTAATAATTTCTAATCCTCCCCAATTGTGTAGGTTTATTATATAAAGTCATTTCTACAAAGTTAATCTCTGTGTTAATTGATCAACAATTTAGCAGTATGAATAGTTCATTATTTAAGATGTATCTTGGGTTTTTTTCTTGTCTGGCTTTATTGTTATCCAATTTGTTGCTTATCATGGAGGTTTTAAAAAAATTTCTTTTGTATGGTTTGCATACAAAAAGAAGTTTCTGGGTTTGGTTTTTTATTTATTTTATTTATTTTTTTTGGGGGGTGCTTTAAACTCTTAGAAATAGATAAGAGGTGATTATGTCAAAGATACATGTTAGGTTTCTACAAGTTCTGTAGTAGATTCTATGCTTTCCACGGTATCTCACTTTTGATACTGTGATTTCTTGTGACATGCATAAATGTTACCTTCGTAATTCTTCTTTACCATGCCAAATCTTCAGCCTTAATTTAATGCCCTAAAAGAGCTTGAGAAAAAAAGTGCTCACTGGAAGCAGGAATGGCATCCACTTCCTAAATAACATTGCCTCTGGAAACTCTGTGAACTTTGATAAATGCTGATAGTTGTGTAGGGGCTTCAGGCCTTTTGTTCATAGGTTCGCTATGAGTCATGCTTGACTCGAAGGCAATCAACAACAACACTTAATCATAGTTAGTAAACCTTTGGCTGTATCAGAAAATCATATTTAAATACTATTTCAGAGGTTCAGAAAGGAGCCCTGGTCACACAGTCATTAAATGCTTGGATACTCACTGAAAGGCTAGTAGTGGTTTGAACCTGCTCAGCTGCCCCATGGGAGAAGGACCAGCCAATCTGCCTACATAAAGATTAGAACTTGGAACACTATGTGGCAAATTAAACCCTGTCACATAAGGTGGTTGTTAGTCGAAATCAACTTGAAGGTAACCACCAATAACAAAATATTCAAAAGATATTTTTCTATGAGCCTTGAAGTTATTATTAAGGAGGTGATTTGAAGATTTTGGAGTAGTCTATCTTTGAAATAAATGTCAAAACATCCTCAGGTAATTACACTGAAAGAAATTACATCAATCTGTATATGAATTCTAGAGGATAAACTATTCTAAGGCATTCAAGGAGCATTGAAAATGTTTTTATAGAAATAAATGAGTGCACTTTTCATGTCTTTATTAGAATGTGAGCTCCCTAAGCTCAGGGGCCTTGATTTGTTTTGTTCACTGCTGCATTCACAGTACTAGAACAATGCCTGACATATAGGAGATAGTAAGTATTTGTTGCATGGATGAATGTGTAATTCTTATCTACTCATCAACATAATTTCTTTTATTTATACTGTGGTAACTTAATTCTGTTAATTGTGTAAGACTGAAAATAATAACAATTTTTATAAATAAGATTTCCATTTAAAAAGTCAATAAGATTAAAAGCTGATTTCCCAGTTATTTTGTTTTATTATTAATTACACAAATAAGCTTTTTTAACAATGTACCTGCCATTTTTATCTCTTTTTTCTTAGCTATTCTATTTGAATGTGTCCATACAGTCTATTCTATTTATCCTAAATCGGAATTACTTGAGAAGGCTGCTAAGTGCATTGGAAAATTTGTCCTATCCCCTAAAATAAATCTCAAATATTTAGGTAAGATAATTTATTATTTTGACACAGTTTACAAAGAGAGCTTTTGAGATATTCTGAGTCTTTTTCTCAAGTTCCTTTGTATAATACAGTCTTTGTTTCTAGGACTCAAGGCTCTTACCTACGTTATCCAACAGGATCCTAGTCTGGCCCTTCAACATCAGATGACAATAATTGAATGTTTAGACCATCCTGATCCCATTATTAAAAGAGAGGTAAACTGGTATTTTGAATAATTTACCTAAAATATTTTATAAATCTTTAAACTTTTCATTGATATTAGAGAGATTCCAAGTGCTGGTCAATGTATAATGTGTATTTTAACTTCTGAATGTGTTTTATTCTTCCTATTGAAATTTAAGGAACTTTTATAAAAATTTGTTTTGTCTGTAACCATAGGAATGTTCTTAAAAATTGTGAGTTGGAGTGGTGAATTTTAATTACAAGTATGGATTCATTAGCCTCATTATTTGGTCCTACTATTGTACTAGTAAAAATTCTTTAAACTCATTGTCATTGAGTTAGACTTTACTCATAGCTGACCCACCAGTGGGTTTTCTAAGGCTGTAAATCGCATGAGAGGAGATTGTTCATTATTTCCCTTGATGTGGCTCGTGAAACCACCAGCCTTTGGGTTGGCAACACAACCATGTATTGACTAAACCACCAGTTCTCCCTGTCGTTAAGTATCATGGAGATCGAACCGTATAATAGCTGATGCTTCAGCACCTTTCCAGAGGCAGTAAATCACATGAGAGAAGATTGTCCATCTTTCACCCCCCGGGGCAGCTGGCAGATTCGAACCACATGCCATTGGGTTGGCAGCATAACTCCTTGCCTGTCTCAACCAGGAAGTTCCCTAGTATATTAATGGGAAACCTGGATTTTACTCCCAGGTCTTCTGTTTGTACAATTTAAGATGTATTACTATTATATAATTTAAGATGAATGTTTTTTTATTTTCATGAGTTCATTTACTCCCTATTGTAGGTATAGAAATGATGAAAGAATTAATAAAATGTTTTAAACTTATGGAAGGAAAAATGCTTATTTAGTTTTATTCTTGTAAAATTACTTCAGGGTTAATTAGGTATTTATGTTAAATATTTTTATTTTTCATGTCTATGTAATAAATTTGTGTTACTATAGAGAAATTATCTGTCTTCATTTAAAGTGCTTTATGAGACTTAGTTAAGAGGAGTGAAAAATTCATTTTTTGTTTTAGAAATAATAAAAATAAAGAATCTAATTGACATAACAATCATAAAAGCAATGAGTTAAAATAGTTTATTGTGAGAACTCTGTCTTGCATTAAACAGTTAAAATATTTTAAAGTATCTAAAAGGTTATCAGTTTTGAACTTTAAAAGGTATTTATATGGTTTTGAGAGCTAGGCTTCATATTTTAAACTTCTAAAAATAGACATTTGTCTTGAGTAAATCTGAGAAGTCCAAAATTTACTCATTTTTGTATGTATGCTTATTAGAAAAAGTGGAAGGATTTTAGGGGGTAATGACAAATATAATGCTCTTCTACTTTTGGCAGAGATAAGTGATATGGAGCATGCATTTTCTTTGTGTAGTTGACTTCTTGTTTGCACAGAGTTTGATTTAGGTACAGGCTCTTATTATAATAAGTATTGGTTTGTTATTTAGAGATGAGAAATCAGAGGGGTAAACTTTCTAATTTATCATTCTGATATGTTTGAACTGTTTCTCGCCTTGAGAAAGTAGTTTGAATTCTTTGGAGAAGGTGCTGAGTGTCAGAGATAACCCAAGAAAGTATTATAGTATTATCTTCTCAATGCTCTTTTCCCTGCTAACCTCTAGCATGATATGGCAAGAATTTTGATTCCTGAGCTGTAACTTGATGTGTTGCTTAGGGCTGAGAGTATTCTTTACTAGTTTATATTACCTTTCTTTTCTATGATGTTATTAAGTGCCATTGAGTTGGAACTGACTCATAGCTAACTCTCCAGTGGGTTTTCAGTGGCTGTGAATAGCCTTACAGACCACCTGGTGGATTTGAACAGTCTGCCTTGGGTTTGACAGTGCAGCTCCTTTAAGCCACCAGAGCTCCCTCTCTTTTATACAGGGAGAGGTAAAATAAGGAGGAGCTACAGAGCTGAACAGAAAGGCCCTCTCAACATGTAATCCTCAACACTATCCCCATCTAATCCTGAAAACACTAAATTACTTGATCTTGGAATTAGAAATGAATTTGGTATAGATTATCTCAAAATGCATAATGTCCGTTATCTACAGGAAATGTATCTGAAACAGCTTTATAAATGGAAAACATGATAGGAGACTCGTGTGTGTGTGTGTGTGTGTGTGTGTGTGTGTTTAATGTAGTTAAGAAATAAATAGTTTGGTTTTTAAAATTTTTCAAATATGTAGTTCTTTATACTTAAGGGAATGACTGTAAGAATGGCATGTGGAAATGTTCTTGCAGGTAATATTGTTGATCTTAAAATACTAATAAATGAGGTCTCATATTGATTGCTGGAAACTGATATTTTTGAACTTCAGTCTTGAGACTTAGAAAGCTAGACAAATAGGAGACTACTCTTCATTTCACTTGAGAGAGCAAGAGATATGTTCTTTAACATTGAGGGAGTAGCTTTTAAAATAAGTCTACCTTGATAACCTGAGATTTTGAATGCAGACAATACAAGGATTTAAAATACTTGAACCATCAACTTTTTTTCTTAAGTATAGCCAGAATGCTCTTTATTTTTTTTTTAATTTGTTGATGGGTTAAATATTTTTCTTTTTTTTTTATTAAATTTTACTCATTTTCATGAACATTTACAGAGATTTTGGGTTTCCATTCATTCATTGTTGCACTATTTTCTCTACCCTCCCCCCCAGTTTGTTCCTCTTCACCCCCCCCTTGAAAGTCTGTTTTAATTGTCCCATTGCCACAGTGCTTGTCGAAACCAGTTCTGATTAATCTCCTTTGTCAGTGTGTCCTTTGCCATTCCCTATCACTACTCCCTGAGAGAGACTTCAACCTGATTCATAAGGAAAAGGGGATGGCGTATTCTCTTAGCTACTTCCTGCTGAAAAGGTATGGTGTAGGTTTCAGGGTGAAGATCTTCTCTCACTACTCTAAAGGGCCCCTTTGGCAATAGAAAACACGTAGACTATTGTAGAGATTGATTTTGGAATTTAGATGCACTGTTATCAATTGTGCTTAGCCGTACATGTTCATTCCTTGAAGATGTATCATGGAAGTGTTGCAGCCTAGAAGACACAAATTTAACTAACAAGTTAAAAGTACATGAGTCAAAAATTAAAAAGCAATAATATTCCAAGTAGAGGTTCTAATAGTGGCACAAATCAAGTTACAGAGGGAAGGTAGTTCTTACAATAAAAGGCTTATTGACTAGCACTTTGTCTATTATAGTATAAAAGTTAGGAACCACAAGATGTAGAGGCTCAACTATGTCATTTATTGTTCTTAAGTCCTGGACCAAATTCTGTCTACCTCTGGGTTGTTTTAGAACCATCAACTTTTGTCCATCTGTTAGAGGCCACTTGCCTTTACTGATCACATTATTAAATGAGAAGTAAACCCACTCATGTGCTGTCTTCTGTTTCTGAGGGAGTATGGGAAGTAGTGTGAAGGATTTTGTGTAACTACCTATCCTCAAGGGAGTTCTTGTAGTTTACTGGATACAGAGTTGTGCTGCCAATTCACAGGCTAGTGGTTTGAATTCACCAGGTACTCTGGAAGAAAGATAGGCAGTCCCCTCTCATGCCATTTACAGCCTCTGAAAACCTCCTGGAGCATCAGCTGAGTTGGTTCCGACTGGATGGTGTATAACAACAATAACTACCTGTGCTTTTGTTTATGTAAGTAATTAGATTTAGATGCTGTTACATTTTTTCAAAATAGAAATGTTTAAAAAGTTTTAGTCCTTATATAGCTTGTCGTGTACAAATGTCAGGTCATATTCAACTATCTCTGTAAAAAAGACTTGTTTTGAAATGAATTATATTTTATTGGTCATAATTCTTTTTTTTTACCGTAATTTTATCTTTCTCAAGTTTTATTTTAGTTAATGTTAAAATCTTATTTTCTTGAGCCCGTGTTAACTCAATGTTGAGTAGGTTTACATTAAAGTAGAAGAATCAGCTGTATTATAAACCTATATATTACTGTCATTTTAAAAATTTTGTTATGAATAATTTTGTAATACTGTTTAATTTCTTTTCTTTATACAGACTCTGGAACTTCTTTACAGAATTACTAATGCACAAAATATAACTGTTATTGTCCAGAAGATGCTTGAATATTTGCATCAGAGCAAGGAAGAATATATCATCGTGAATTTGGTTGGCAAAATTGCGGAGCTGGCTGAGAAATATCCTTTGTTGGAACCATGAATCATAAAATACATTTAGTTACACAATGACTTTAGAAAAATTGTTATAGATATTGCTACTCAAGAGGTTAGAAACCCAGGAATAGCTCCCATATCTGATGTTTATGTTTTTCTTGTCAAAAATAGGAATTTGCAAAGACTTCGTAGGGCACTGCTTTCTTTTTTCTTTTCATTTGATTGGTTGATATTATGAGCAGGAACATGAAGATAAAGTAACTTGTATTTGGTTCCTTTTCCCTCTAGCTCTTAGACCTTACTTACTTTCCAATTAAAATTCTGTTTTATTTTTATTGAAAATTTAAAACTTGTATCATTTCCACATTATGTTGGACATAGGCAGTCATAATAAACAGTTGGGATTCATTCACAGTTTACTTCACATTTAGATGTCAAAAGAATCTCACTAAGTTATGTTGTGTACCATTAAGTCGGAACTGACCCATAGCTGACCCTCCAGTGGGTTTTCAGATACAGTTAATCACATGGGAGGAGATACCTTATCCTTCTCCCCCCGAGCAGCTGGTGACCTCCAAGCACGTACCTTCGGGTTGCAGCACAGCTTCTTGCCACTAGGCCATCAGAGCTCCCTACTAAGGACTAAATTATAGGGACATGTAATTCTTTTAAACATATTTATAATTTTTTTTTAAAAGAGTGGATGATAGTAAATTATCTTGGAAATTGCTTAAGACTATTTTTGTCAAGAAATAGTTTTGTCCTAGCCATTGCTATAACTCTGGCCTGTAGAATCATAAAATTTTAAAATGGAACAGGAACAGATTAGACAAGAGGTTAAACAACCTGTTCAACTAAACATAACACAACATTTAATCTCTCTGAAGTACATATAATTTTCCATTTTTTAAATTTGTTCCTAGTTACATAATTGAGATCTAGTGGCGTAGTAGTAAGGAGCTGTACTGCCAGCCAAAAAGTACAGGGTTCAAATCTACCAGCTTCTCCACTGGAGAGAGATGGGTAATCTTCCCCCTGAGCAGTTTTCTGCCTGTGAAAACCTCTGGAGGATCAGCTATGAGTTGGTCCCAACTTGATAGTACATAAAAACACGTTAGATAATCAGTGACTTTCAATTACTGCACATTTATTAAATGCCTATTATAAGCACAGAGAGTCTTGTAGGTATGGTGGATTAAATGTTGGGTTATTAACCAAAAAGTTGTTGGTTCAAATTCAACGACTCTGCAGGAGAAAGATGAGTCAGTTGGCTTCTGTAAAGATTCCTTATGAAGAAATCCTGAGTCAGTTCTGCTCTGTCCTATAAGGGTCTTCACATTTTAGAATTGATTGGACAAGCTATGAGTTTGGTTTGAGTACTATATGCAAGGCACAGTAGTACCTGGTGACGTGAAACTAGCTTATTACTAATAAATTTCAATGAAATAAGCTTTTATTGGAAATCTTATTTATATAAAGGCAGAGTACTGGAAAATTATTTCTAGAAGTTAAATGTAAAAATGTTTACCAAGGGTGAGTTAAAAGTCTTTTCAAAGATACTGCATAAAGGATAATTTTAACAAGTGATATTTGGAAATGTATGTCTTCTTGACTCTATTGACACATATGCCCCTGGTAATGCCTGGTTTATTCAGACAATGAATGCTGTATTTTCAGTGGGAGGAGATGTAATGCATCCTGATATTCCTAGTAACTTCCTGAGACTGCTAGCAGAAGGTTGGTAAACAGCTGCATTCTGTAAGATTTTTTATATGAAATGTTTTTATTGCAAATTCTTTAGGGAAATTTAGTAGAAATTAAAATGGCACAATTTCTTTGTAGGTTTTGATGATGAAACAGAAGATCAACAATTAAGACTTTATGCAGTTCAGTCTTACCTCACTTTACTAGATGTGGAAAATGTGTTCTATCCACAGAAATTTCTTCAAGTTATGAGTTGGGTGAGCAAAATACACTACATAATCAATTTTAGAGCATATTTTTTTCATAGAAACCACATACTGTTGATGTTGTTAAGGTGTCATGGTGTTGACTAGGACCCAGAGCAAGCCTATGAACAACAGATACGAGCCTTGTGTTATCCTGCACCGTCCTCATGGTTTCTGTTATCCTCAAGCCCATGCTTACAGTCACTGTGCCAGTCTCTCTTGTTGAATGTCTTCCTCTCTTTTGCTGACCCTCTACCTTTCCCAGCATGGTGTCATTTTCCAAGAACGAGTACCTCCTGACAATATGCCAAAAAGATGTGAGATGAAGTTTTGCCTTCCTTGCTTCCAAGGAGCACCTTGGCTACACTTCTTTGTTCTTTTGGCAGTCCATAGGCTCTTCTTCCTCTTCTCCAGCACCACAATTAAAAGGCATTGTTCCTCTTCGATCATCCGTAGGCATTGTCCAACTTTCAAATATATAGGAAGCAATTGAAAAGAACAGTGGATTGAATTAGGCACACCATAGTCTTTAAACTGACATCCTTGCCTATTATTGCTTTGGAGGTGTTCTTGAGTTCAGATTTTCCTAGTTAGCAACCTTTTGATTTCTTGACTGCTACAACTTGGTGTTGATTGTAGATCAAGTAATAGGAAATTGTTGACAACTTCACACTTTTTTCCATCTCTCATGATTTGCCTTTTGTTCCATTGGTGAGGATTTTTGTTTTCTTGATGTTGAGATGCTATTTGAGACTATAATCTTTTATCTTCTACAGTAAATACTCCAAGTCCTCTTTCTTTTTTCTGCAAACAAGATAGTTTGATCTATGTAACACAAGTTGTTAATGATTCTTCCTCCAATCCTTATGCCACATTCTTCTTCAGATAGTCCAGCTTCTTTACTGATTTGCTCAGCATGCAGATTTATTAGCTATGGAGAAAGGATTCATTCCTGACCCACACCTTTCCTGGTTTTGAAACCATGCAGTATTCCCTTAGTGTAGTATGTTTTCTTCTGAAATTATTCACTGATACTCCATCAACCCCTTTGGCAGGCAGTTAACTCTTATTGCCAGTGGCTGCATTCTATCATTTAACTATCCTTTATTCTTTCTTTCTACTATCTTATATGTTTAGTTTTTTAAGTGTAAGTATATGTTTCAATAACTCTCCGTGTTTATGACATATTTGTTGTATTTCCTGTGTGAGAATTCATTTGTGAATATTCACTATACTGGGCCGTTAGTTGTTTTAAGACAACACATGTTTATTATCTCACAGTTTCTGTGGCTCAGTAGTCCAGGAATGGCTTACCTAGGCTTGTTGTTAGGTCTCATAAGGCTTCAGTGAAAGTATTGGCTGGAATTGCTGCTCTCTCATTTGAACCTTGACAGGGGAAGGATCATCAACTCTGGTCGATGACAGAATTTAGTTGCTTGTGTATATAGTGCTGAGCACTTAGATTATTACTCGCACTTGTAGAAAAGCGCCCTGGTAGCATAGTGTGTTATAATGTTAGACAGCTAAGAAACTGAAAGGTCAGCAGTTTAAATCTACCAGCCACCCTATGAAAGAAAGGTGGGCAGTCTCCTATTAAGACTTGCAGTCTTAGAATCCCTGATGGAGGAGTATCAGGAGTCAGAATTGACTCCTCAGTAGCGAGTTTGACTTTTTTGTGTGTTAGCACTTAAAACCTGCCGTCAGTTTCTTGTCACATGTCTCATGTCCTTCCATGAGAGCTTGCTTCATTAAAACCAGCAAGGGTCTTTTCAAGACAATTTTATGAATTGTAGTTGCACATAATTTGCTATATCCTTTTGTATATTATACATGACAGGGAACAAGCCACAGGTTTTACCCACACTCAGAGGATCTCACATGACATGGATTTCATGAAGTGAGAATCATGAGATTACTCTAGAGTCTCTACCACATGTGCATATTAGTAAGTATTATAGGTGTTGCTGCATGATTGTCTTACAGACATATTTGCCAGATATTGTCATTCCTCGAGTCCCTAAGTCCTTAGTGGTTTGCCTTTTCTCCATTGTTCTTAGTCTTTTCTGTCTGATACATATAATGTTCAAGGTTTTTAAGTATACTTAGCAGAAAAAATAGGGAAAAGTACATCTACTCAAACTTTCTAAAGCAGAAGTTCATTGTCCATTTTGAACTTGGAGTTTCCCTTTATAGATATTTTCCATGTTTTTTTTTCTAGAAATTATTTCAACTGCTTAAGGATCAAACTTAATTTAGTCCTGTTTCTTCTTTCTTCTTTCTTGCTGCTAGCTATAAATTCATCTTTTACTTCTCTCCCACTTTTCTCTTTTTCTTGCTGCCAGAAATATGAAGCTATTCCATAAATACTACTTAGCTAAGACTCACACTCATTAAGGTATGTTTATTAGTTATTCTTAGACTTCTAGGATTCAATGTCACCGAAATAAAGTAGAAGTTAAAAAGCGATATATACTATAGTTTATGTCCTTTAATGTCTATACTGTGACCCATCTACAGCAGGATCTCTTGATACTAGTTTAGAATGTATGTATTAGATCCCCACGGCAGCTAAACTATTGTAATCCTTGAGGATGGAGTCTAGAAACGTGTATTGCCATCAACCATCTCAGGAGACTTTTAAGCATATATAGCATATGAAAACCACTTGTTTAAATGTTTATTTAGAGTGCTAGTAAAAACCAATAACCAGCTGTTTGAATTCAGAAGAAATTTACATTGATGTATGCATTGTTAAAAACAAAGATTAGGAAACCTTTTTTTCAAAAACAGATTTTTATTTCTTAATATAGTTTGGAACCTAAAATTTGTAATACATTTATCTAAAACTTTCTTCTCTGTGGACTATTTTTAATCTAGATTGAGTATTTTGCTTAGTAGAGTTTGCTGTAGAATTTGATATTTGTGTATAACTACTTCTATGTTTTATTTATAGGTATTGGGGGAATATTCCTACCTTTTGGGTAAAGAAACACCTGAGGAGATTATTGCCAAGCTTTATAAGTTACTTATGAATAGCTCCGTTTCTTCGGAAACAAAAGCTTGGTTAATTGCTGCTGTGACCAAGTTGACACCCCAAGCACATTCATCTGACAAAGTTGAGAAGTTAATCCAAGAATTTACCATATCTTTGGATACATGTTTGAGACAACATGCATTTGAATTAAAACATTTGCATGAGAATGTAGAACTTATGAAGAGTGTGTTTCCAGTTGATAAGAGTTGTGAAGACATTATGGTAAGGCATTTTTGTTCCTTCTTATAAAAATTGCGTTATATTTAAATGTAGATGTAGAGTAATTCTTGCATTTGTTTTACAGTTTCTTTTCTTTTTTGTGTCTGTGTACAGTCAAATGGGATCTGACTGGTACAGGAGGAGATTGTCCCTCCTCCTCTAGCAGAGCATCTGGTGGATTCGATAATTCTTGCATTTGTGATATATTAGGAATATCCCAAAATTTAGTATCTTTATCACTTCAAATAAAGTTGGTATTTTTCTCACATTAGGCTGAGAAGGAAGAAGTCAGAAATGTCTTTTATTTTGATCTTTTGAACTTCTATATCCTAAGTAATTTTGTTCTTTTTTTAAATTAGAATTTTTTAAAAATGTCTCCATTTTATTTTATCTTTTCTGTAACTTCAGCTATTTTTAGAATCTGACTACCTAGCTTTCTTTGTCTTAACTTGCTTCCAGCTCTTTTGCCCAGAGTGCTCAGTTACCACTTTCCCTCTTAATTCATATTATTCTGTTTTCAAAGATGTATGTGATTGAGAAAATTTCCAAAGAGAAATAAAGTTTGTTCAGATTGCTATGTGATAGTTGTCACATAGTTGAGAAACAGGAATTGGTGTCACTTAGTTGAGAAAGAGAAAAACATTTGTAGTATTTCCACTAATTCTGAGCTGTATTTCCCTGGTTTATATTCACAGTTTGTGTTCATTGGTTTTTTCAAGTAGTTCTTAAAGTTAGAGGCCTTGCCTTAATATTTGATAGGCATTCCACAGGATGTTGGAATCATGAATGAATCTTCTATACAGAGTATTAAACTCTTATTGTTTTGTACCATTGAGTTCAGATCTACTCATAGCTGACTCTCAAGTAGATTTTCAGGGGCTGTAAGTCACATAGGTAGGCATTGTTCATCTTTCTCCTGTAGAGCTGCTGGTGGATTTGAACCATGTACTTTTAGGTTGGCAGTGTGACTCCTTAACACTAGACCACCAGAACTCCTTAGTACTAAATGAGATAGATGGTATATTCTTCCTTGCTCATGATAGAGATAGCCTAGCCCTTTTGCTTTAAGAATTTTGCTGAATATTATTGACATTAACAGAAAGATGGAAACAACCCAATTGTTCATCAGCAAATGTGTGAATGGAGAAACTTGGATGGTGGTGGTAGTGGTGGTTGTTTTGTACTGTAGAGTCTAAACCAACAAATAGCTGACCCTTCAGCAGGTTTTCAAAAGCAGTTACTAGCATGAGAGGAAAGTGCCCATCCTTCTCCCTTGCAGCAACTGGTGGAATTAAACCACGTGGCTTCTGTTCAAAGTAGCCGCAGCTTCCTGGTACTAGGCCACCAGTGCTCCTATTTTTGCCCATCAGCAAAACTATGGTGCCCAGTAGAATACAACATTGAAAACAATCAGGAATTTGTGAACCACTGAATAACATAGATGAATCTATAAGACATTATGCTGAGTGAAAATAAGTCAGTCTCAAAAGTGTAACAATTGCAAGTATTGTTGTTAGGTACCATTGAGTCAGCTATGACTCATAGTGACCCTATGGATAACAGATCTTCCTTTCCCTATCTTGCATCATCCTCACAGTTTCTAAAATGCTCAAGCCCATTGTTGAAACCACTGTGTCATTCCATCTTGTTGTGAATCTTCTTCTCTAACTCTCCACCTTTTTCAGCATGATGTCCTTTTCCAAGGATTGGCACCTCTTGACAACATACCTAAAGAATGTGAGGCCGAGTTTCACCATCTTTGACTCTAAGGAGTACCCTGGTTGCACTTCCTTCAAGAAAGACTTGATTATTCTTTTGACAGGCTATCCAATATTCAGTATTATTCTTCAGCATCACAACACAGAGGCCTCAATTTTTCTTCTGTCATTAGTATTGATTGTCCAACTTTCAGATGCCTTGAAGTACTTGAAAATACTATGGCTTAGATCAAGTACACCTTAAGTCTTTAAACTGATACGGTTCCTCTTTAGAACTATAGAGGGATCCTTGATGTCAGTTTTGCCCAATGTAATACCGCATAATTTTTTTACTGCTGTTACCCTGAATGTTGATTATGGATCCAAACAAGATAAAATTGTTTACAACTTCAGTCTTTTCTCTATCTTGTGTTGCCTGTTGGTCAAAGGTGAGGAATTTTGTTTTCTTGATGTTGAGATAAAATCCATATTGCTGTCTTTGATTTCTGTAGTAAGTGCTTCAAGCCCTTCTTCACTTTCTGACAGCAATGTTGTATCATCTACCTAACACAGGTTTTTGATGAATCTTCCTTCAATCCTGATACCACATATTTCTTTATAGAGTTAAGCTTCTCAAATGATTTGCTCAGCAAACAGATTGAATAGGTATGGAGAAAAGATACAACCCTGATAGACATCCTTCCTGATTTTAAACTGTGCAGTGTTCATTTGCGCTGTTTGGATAACAGCCTCTTGGTCTAGGTTTCACAGGAGCATTCTTTAAATGTTCTGGAAACACTTAAAGACACTTCTTAGTATTAACCATAACTTGTATGATCCATACAGTCAAATGCCTTTGCATAGTTGATAAAACACAAATAAACATCTTTCTGTTGTTCTCTGCTTTCAGTCAAGATCCATCTGGCATCAGCAGTAATGTCCCTCATGTCATGGCCTCTTCTGAATCCAGCTTGAATTTCTGTATATTGTAGAAGACTGCTATTATAAAAAAGCTAAAGAAAAGTTTGCATGGAAAGAATCATAATTGATTATTCTAAGGAAAAAATATCCAAAGGAATAAATATCATGCATAGTTGATTATTCTAAGGAATAAGTATTTCCCTCTTGTTGTTCCTCTTAGAGGCCTGACTGTTGTTTAGATAAAAGTTCAGCAACATGGGTGGTTTTAGCTCCAGGCTTGAAGGTGTCTAAAGACCATGCGTCTATGGTCATATCACCATGAACTCTCTTGATCTTGTGTGATCTTGGAAGCTAAGCAGAGCTGGATCTGTTTAGTACTTGGATTGGAGGCTGCCTGGGAATACTAGATGATCTAGGTTTTTTTAGCTCTGGGAAAATAGTCTGTTGTGTTGTGCTGGTAATTGAAAGGTCAGCAGCTCTGTTGACCAGCAGCTCTGCGGGAGAATGATAGACATTCTTCTCTTAAGATATGTGACTGGGGAAGAACACGGTTCTGAATGTGATTGTTTGGTACTATGTGCTGTTGAGTCTGATCCAACCCATAGCTGAGTTTCCAGTGAGTTTTCATAGGGAGTAAATTGCATTACCCGTCTTTATCCTACAGCACAGCTGGTGAATTCAAACTCCTTACCTTTGAGTTGGCAGCACAGCTGTTTACCACTGGACCGCAAGGGCTTCTCCTCAAAGTAGAATCTGCTTTAGTTGCACAGATGAAGTAAAGCTTTCAGCAAATGAAAGAACTTTATTTGCTGATGTGGCAAGCAAAAAGTGGGAGAAATAGCAGCAAACATTTATCAGTAATTGGAACATGGAGAGTATTAAGTAGAGATTTAGGAAACTTGGAAGTTGTTAAAAATGGAATGAATAAAGATTAACATCTTAGGCATTCGTGTGTTGAGATGGCCTAGTGCTGGCCATTTATAATCAGATGATCATGTAATATACTGTGCCAGAAATTACTTATTGAAGACTGATGGAAAAATCATTCAAAAAGAATATTTTGAGATCTGTGTTTAAGCATAATACTGTGAATGATAAGATAGCATCCATATGTAGTTAAGCAAGACCGTTAATGTTATTCAAATACATACAACTATTATTCAGATACATACACCAACCACTAAGGCAAAAAATTAAGTAATTAAAGATTTATACTAATTTTTGAAAATTGCATTAGAACATCAGGAAGTCAAAACAAAGGGGAGAATTACAACAACATGGAAACAGACCTAATGTCCAATCACAACTGAATGGATTGAGAAATTGTGGTACATTAACACAAGGGAATACTATGCAGCACTCAGGACCAATGATTTAGAAAATACTACATAATTTGGGAAAGACTGAAAAGCATTATGCTAAGTGAACTAACTCAGTCTCATAAGGACAAATACTGCATAAAGCCATTATTGTAAAAATAGAAGGATGACTTGTAAAACGTGTATGGTGACTCAAGAGGGGATGGGGTGGGAGCAAAGGGGTGAGGATGGGTAGGGGTGAAACCAAAGGGTTGTACATTTTGGTGGGTAGAGGGAGGGGGGAAATGAAATGGAAAAGATCCAATGGGGACCTGAAAAGACAGTGTAATGATAGACAGTGTTAAATGGTAATTAATCTTATAAAACATGATTGGGATTGATTGTATGAAACGCAATGTGAATGAAGAATAGTGTGAAACACAATGTAGAAAAACTTTGTAAGCAAACAAATAGAAAATAAATAAAAAATAAAAACCCTAAAAAAATACAAAAACAACAACAAAGGGGAAAAATGCTGAAGTAAAAGAAATAAACAGAAGATTTCATAGAGTAGCTTGAGAAGACTAATCAAAGTATTACAACAGAATATGCCAAAAGCTCGAGAATAAAAAGGTAAGAACTCGCTCAGCATTTTCAAGGTTGAAAGAATAGAAAAACAAATTCAGATGTTGAGTTGCAATACTGAATGCCTGCTTGGGCATAATCTTGAATGAACCAGGAAACGTCATAAGACAGTGCAAGGAATACAAAGTCATTCGACCCAAAAGAACTGATTGACATTGAAAAATGTCAGGTAACACTGACTTTCAGTCTGAATTTAATAAAAAAATGTAACCAGGAAGTATTCATAATTGGAATGATTGGAATACAAAAGTTGGAAACAAAGAACTGTAGTTGGAAAATACAGGTTTGGTGATAGAAATCCCAAGATGGAATTTTCTACAATCAATGATTCATTAATGTTAAAAGCCTTTTTAAAAGAACGTAGATTACAGCTATGCACATGGACCGCAAGTGAACTACACAAGAATCATATTCTCTCCACCTGTGGAAGAAGATAGTGGAG